CCCTAACCCCCACTCAGGCAGTTTCTCAGGGACCCAGAGAAGGAGCAGCAGTGCCTACAGCCCCTGAAAACTCTGCCCAGTAACATGGTATTATGGGCCTTTGTGGAGGTCAGCCTTCCCTGCCCCAAGTTCTTGATGCTTTGCTAGGGAGAAAGTGATTCCTTCCCCCCAGTAGCAACCAGAACATGCTCTAGAATTCACCTGGATTTACTAGGACATGTGAGAGGAGGTGGACAGGGGCATTAACTGGAGGTCCCAGAGCAATGCAGTCCAGCTGGCCCAATGCCACCCAAGGAAGCCACTGGGGGCGAGGTGTTGGGACAAAGGAAGCCAGGTTTGGCTGCCATCCTCCTGGTTGGTTATTGTTTGTTATCTGATTTACATATTTCCATCGGTGAGTTATTGCCGTACGTCCCTGTAGCCTCAAGTCAATGGTGCCATGTGAGAAGGGACCCGCAGGGAAAACCCTGCTGTGGATGCACAGCATTAGGCTGCGGACTTCCCGGCCAGCAGCCAGACGGTGCTGGTTCTCCCCACTGCACTCTGACTATTGATCCTTCTTGGCCTCATTTCTGGAACTGCAGAACCGGCAGAGCACACCGACCGCAGGGCTGCTCTCCTGGGACGCCCTGAAAGTGAATGAGTTGTTGAAGCAGAGGACCGGCAGTCTCCGGCTGAAGAGGTGAGTAAATCAAACATCCCCGCAGTGTCTGTTCCCAGTTTCTCCCTTCGCCCACAGCTGCAACAACACGTGCCTGCTTCAGTTATGCTAACTTCTGAGTATCAGAGATGAAGAGCATAAGCTCAGGGCTGGACGGCCTCGATTTTAATCCTAGCTCCCTGCTTCCCAGCTGGGTAAGTAATGTCACTTCTCTGTGCCTAGGTTTCCTGATCTGTTTAGAGAAAGTAATAATAGGAACTACTGTATTTTGCCGTGTATAATGCACACTTTGTGCCCAAATTTTTGAGGGAAAAATATGGGTTCACATTATACATCGGTATAGTGATTACATACCATGAGTATAATAATGGGTATAATAATCCCGTGTATGATGCGTACAAAATGTGGGTGCACATTATACACAGCAAAATACAGTACCTCGTAGAGCTGCTAGAAAACAAATGAGTTAGTATATATAAATGGCTTAAAATTGTGCCAAGTATATAGTAACTGCTAAATAAGTTTTCACTATAAGGTGATGATTACTACATAGCACTCTCACATAATGAGCTCATAAAAGCTTATTTGATTGATTTATTTGGTGCCTGAACACTAACATAGTGTCTCTCTCACTGACCTGATGTTTTTTCAAACTACTGACAGCTCTCGTTAAAAATGCAGATTCCAGGCCCCTGCCCTGAAGATTCTGATTCATTACAGGCATACCTTGGAGCTATTGCAGGTTCAGGTCTAGACCACCACAATAAAGTGAGTGTCATAATAAAGTAAGTTGTAATCTTTTTGCTGGTGGAGGATCTTGCCTTCAATTTGTAAAAAATGCAACATCTGTGAAGCGCAACAAAGCGAAGCTCAATCAATGAGGTTTGCCTGCAGGTCCAAAATGGAGCCCAGGAGCTGTTTAACAAATGGCCCAGGTGATCCCAGTGGGACTGAGAGGGACCAACCCTGACTGCCAGTTCATCTGAAGAGCCAGGGAGGGGATGGCTGCTTGACTGGGACTTTGGGAAACTCGCATTGTCTCCCCATCCCATTCAATTGGTGGATTTCCAAAAGGCCTGGAACAAAGAAAGAGACCTGGACTCACAGACAGGAAGGGGGTGAGTTGTTGCAGGATTGGGGACAGCAGGAGAGGACGTGGTTGGGGAAGGGTTAGTGGGGGTGCCCAGAGGTCATACGTGGCCCAAGCCTGGCACTCCACTGAGAATCACACACGTTCAGAGTCCTGGGCTGCATGAGTCTGGCCAGTGTCTCCAGGTGTCTGACCTTCTCTGTACTCAGGTCCCTGTAAACTACAGGCCCATTTTCCCCAGAAATTCTGACCCAGGTATTGACTTGTGTGTTTACTGATTCAACCACGTCTCCTGAGCATTCGCCAGGCACCGAGACCCATGCAAAATTAAGTGTGATTCTCTGACTGAAAGCAGCTCTGCGTGTGTGATGCGGAGTCCCTCTCTCTCTGTGGAGAAGCTGAAAGCTTGGTGTCCAATGGGAAGGACACGTGAACGGATCCTAGCAGTGCCGTGTGAAGACTGTGTGCTGACGGCGTGCACAAAGGGCACGGGGCCGCTGAGGACGGGGAGCTCTCCTGGGGAGGGGAAGCGTTGCAGTCTCCAAAGGCTTCTCAAAGGAATCGTGCCTGCTCCTGGAGAATGAGAAAGTGCGATCAGACTGCTGGTGCAAAAGAAGGTATTCTAATTTAAAAAAAGAAAAACTAGTTGAAGAAAAACACCAAGGTTTAGGACACAGGTGTGGCTGGAATGCAGAAGGCTGGGCGTGGAAGTGGGAAGGTAGGTGGGTCTGGCTTCCAAAGGTCCCCAAGTTCTGTGCAAGGAGTCTGGGCCTCACCCTCCAGGTGAAGGAAACACCCAAGGACTTGGTGAATTGGTTCCATGGACCGAAAGAGCAAAAGACAGGAGGGTCAGCAGTAAACAGTCTGAATGTGGTCTGAGACCAGCTGAGTCTGAGACACCAGGAGGGCCTCTGCCAGGAGTTGTCCCGAAAAAGGCCCAGGCCAGAAGTGGAGCTTAGGGACCCTTCTCACACAGCCGAGAGGCAGAGCTGGGGCAGGCCAGGGAGCCTCCCTCCTTCCCCAGCGAGAGCAGCAGAAACAAGAGAGCCATAGGATGGCTTCTGTCACCAGCAAGGCTCCTCACTTTCCTAAAACTCCGACCCCTCTCTCATCCGGGAGCAGGAGGCAGCACTCATTTGGGTTTTCAGCAGGACTTGCTTGACCCACTCCAGCTCTGGCGGTCTCCACCTGAGGCCATATCTGGCCCCGGTGTATCTATTGAACAGTCACCTCTGGTGAAAGGAGTGTGACTTCTTAGTCATTTTGTAACTTCCTGAATGTGTCCTCGGAGCATTGGAACAACAAGCAGGGCCTTGTCTGCCTTGAGCTCGCTATGAAGGAAAGAGTAAGTTAGAGCCATTATCCCCAGAGCAGGGGAGACGGGGGCAGGGTGCTCTGACCTTGTCCTTTGTTCTTCCCTGGCCCTAGATTCCTCCACCCACGCCCTCCATCTGAGTCACACTTACCACGCTGTCTGTAGAGGTGGGTAGGGCTGTGTTACCTTTGTTTGGTAAGTCAGCAGTTACTCATTGTTGCTCCAGCTCCCTGCTCCTTACACACATCTCAGGCCTTCCACCTGTCACCTCTATTTAAATAACTGCAACAATGGCCTGATGACCAAGTATCTGGTATTTCTGATTGCCAGCAGGACAGTTAAGGCTGAGACAATGCATCTTTATAATTAAGAGGGAGCTCTAGAGCCTGACCGTTTGAGTTTGGAACCCGGTTCCACGTTACTGCCTACTTAACCGTAACCTTTCTTTACCTCGCTTTCTTTATCTGTAAAATGAGAATAGGAAAGCTCTTCATCTCATAGGGCTGTAGTGAAGTTGAAAATGAGCTTGCATGTACAAATCTCTACAACAGTGCCTGGCATACAGTAAGCACATAATAAAAATGAGCTATAATTATCTCCTTTCAGAAGTCCTCTCTCTCTAAACTCTTATGTCCAAAATGAAGAACCACATCCTCGGTTCTGGCCTGGTTTCTCCATTAAGAAGCTCCGGAGGCTCCTGTATAACAGACAAGGAAATGAGACCCAGGGTAGTGAAGGGACTTGCTCAAAGTCACATAGCAAGCCAAAGGGAAAGCTGGGGCTCAGGACCCCTGCTCACATTCCACATGCCTCCTGACACCAGCTGGGCTACCCTGCAGGAATCTTCAGGCACCTTTAGAGAGCCCCTGAAAAACAATTTAGACTCACCCCCCAAATCACCTGGGCCACTTATTGAAAAAGTAGATTCCTGGGATCCGCTATTGGATTCTGACTCGGTAAGTCTAGTGTGGAGCCCCAGCTGGCATTTTAACGACCACACCTGCTCCCCTTCTCACACCCAGGTGGCTCTGGTTCAGCTAGTCCACACTTTGAAAAACACCTTTCGCGATCCCTTACGTGGCTCCACTGAGGATGAGTCCCAGAGGACCTGCTGGCTAGCTAGCCCTGGCTGTTCTCTCTGGAAGCAGCCACACTATTGCCATTACTGGGCATGGCTACAGACCCTGTATGGTATTTCGGGAATTTGGTCACATTCTTTCATACTCTCATCCTGAAAAGAAACACCACTCTTTCAAACAAAGATGCACCTGTACCCCTGCAAAATGAGCGGGGCACTCAACACCAGGATTATCATTCCACTGGGCATTGTTTACCACAATAGGAATGCTGGGAGCTAGAGGGGTTGTGGGTAATCTCATTCATTGCACCTGCCTTCTATGCGGGCGACCTCATCAAAGGCTCGCTGCATGTTAATACTGCCTCAGAAGCTTTTGTCCTTGCCTTCCTACAGCAGTGACTGTGTGGTTCTTTATCTCTGCCTCCCTCTCACTAATCTGGGTCCTCAGGCTCCTTTTGGAGGAAGGAAATCAGAGCAGAGCAACCTGTTTGAAGAAAGAACAAATATTTGAGGAACAGTGTGTAGAGATAGTGGCACGAACCACAGGACTTTTTGTCTGGTTTTGAAGAGGCTCTGGCTGTGGACAACTATCTGCTGGGAAAAAGATAAAGTATTCCTGAAGACAGAAAGTGGTCAACTCTAAGATGTCATTTTGGAAAAAGGTGACAGAGTCATTAAGCTTGTGGAGGATTTCATTTCGGAGGGTTTTACTTCTCAGCTTTTGACCTTCTCCAGGTCAGAACTAGTAGCCACGCCTGTCTCCTTTTATTTTCACTTCTGAATTATCACTGGGCCATGGAGATAACAAGGTCTGCTGATCAGAACACAGCTGTAGAGACTAAGAAATACTGTTTGATAACTGACCTTCGGCAGCCTGAGGCTGGCCTGAGTCAGCAGCGTAGCTTGCAATGGAAAGTGCGTAACCTTCAGGGTGGGTTCCAGTCCCACATCTGCTGGCAACCAGCTGGGGGGTCTTGGACGGGTCACTTAACTCTCTGAATCTCCGTTTTCCTGTCTAAAAAGTGGGGGTACTCATATCGAATTCACTGGGCTTTGTGCTCATCAAAGGACATGCTGAATGTCAGACATGGTGCTCATCATCAGCTATTCAGTAAGTAGTTTTTTTCTCTATTTTCTTCTTGGTAAGTAGAGATGGGAAGTGATCGGGCCATCACTCAACTAAAGAACAGAACACAAACCACTTTTGAGCTGGTGGAAGAGGAAATATTTTTAAAATGTATTTTAACCAATCCAGTAGTAGGCAATGAAGCAGAAAAAAGAGAAGGAACAGCAAAACAGGTAGTAATTAGGAAATAAGTCAGTGAAATATATCAATAATCACAATAATTTAAGCAAATTAAACTCATCAGCTTGGATTTCATTTTTTCCATCCACTCATTCAAGAAATAATTGTTGAGCACCTACCAGGTTCTAGGCACTAGAATTTAGCTCAACGTTATTCACGAAAGACATTTCTAAAACCAAAAACAGAAAATGGCTAAAAGTGAAAGATTAGAAAAAATATATCAGGTAAATATTAAGTAAAAGAAAGCTGAATTAGCAATATTAACTTGAAAGAAAATAGGCCTTAACACAGAAACTTGGCAATAAAAAGAAGGTCTTGATAAAGGGAACAGTTTACCAAAAATATGTAACTATCATGAACCTGTATGTATCTTACAACATAGCCTTAAAATATATAAAGCAAAAATGAACAGTGATATTGACAATCCACAATCATAGTGGTAGATTTTAATCACTTTCAGAAACTATTCAAACACAAAAATTGTGAAAGATATAAATTTGAACCACAATCATTTATGGACTCTTGCATCTCATAAGTAAAAAGGAAATAGCTTTTCAAGTACATGCTTATAGGAATTTTCTAGGCCACCAAGGAAATATCAAAAGGCAGTAAAGAATTGTTAATATACGGGCCACGTTCTCTGATGTCAGTGCAACAGAGCGGTGAGTCAGTAGCCAAAATATTTCCACACAAAACATGGGTGTTAAGAAAATTTCTAAACATACTTCTAAATAATTAATGGGTAAATGAAACAATAAGCACATAAATTATAACATATTTTATAACTGATGACATAATATCATAAAGAAAAGAACAACATAAAAATGGTCACTGCCTCCCCGGATGGGTGGGTCAGTGGGTTGGAGCATTGTCCCACACACCAAAAATATCGCAGTTTCAATTCCTGGTCAGGCACATAGCTAGGTTTTGGGTTTGATCACTGGTCCAGGTGCATTCGGAAGGCAACCAATTTAAGTTTCTCTCTTTTTCTCTCTCCCTTCCTCTCTCCCTACAATCAACAAAAACACATCCTCAGGTGAGGACTAAATCTATATACACATGGTCACTGCCCCACGGACATCTCCATAGCACGGGGCATCCCACAAGACTGGGGCTAGGACAGCAGACAGAGCCCTGCACACTAGGGCAAGTGGACAGAAGGAGGAGTTCTAGCAGTGCTGGGCAAGGTTACTTCTCAAATACCTTTTACTCCTCCCTGCTTTTGCTGATGCTGTTGCCTCTGTCTAGAATGCCCTCCTGCTCCTGCCTACCCGCAACCTGCCTCTCTGCTCCTACCTCATCTGGTGAACTCTTTTTCATACTTTAAGACCCAGTTAAATTATCATGGTCACTTACGATTGACTCAGCTGACTCTTAGCTCCCAAAACATCTCTTTTCTAGAGCACTTTAAGTATAAGTAATTTCCAGTGTACGTGTCCCTTCTTTACTAGCTACAAACTCTAGAGGGTAAAGGCTGTGTGCTTGTCCTCTTCACCTGCGTAGATCCACACAGAGCAGGCACTCAGTCTTCGTTGGGACCTCCATCTCTACCCTGCATCTTTAATTAGCTGGAGCATCCCCCATGGTAGTCTGCCTGCCATGCTGGTTTGCAAAGGCATTCCACAAAAGCTCCCACCATCTCTGCCAGAGAGAGCCAGGTAATGGCCTTCGCTGAAACCATCGCTAAAATGCAATGCCACCCTGAAGGAGGCCATGCTAAGTCGGAGCCCAGGATTGTCAGCAAATTTCATTTCCAGTCTGCCCCCTGGAAGTCTGCTAATTTGGATGCTTGGCCTGAATCCTGCCTGGAAATTGGTGTTCACTGGGTTTTATAGAAAGAAGTAGGATTTCCCTCTGGGCAAAAAAAAAAAACAACAACAAAAAACCCTTATTAATGACTCATTTATCTTCCTGGGGAGCCATTTGCCTAACTGGAACTGAATCTTAAAATGCAAATTTTTCCTTGCTAATAAGCATGGCAGCTGATGTGCAACACCACTCAGTATAATTTGAGAACGATTCTTTATTATTATTATTGTCATCATTATTTCAACCTACCAATCGGGTTAATATGATTAAATCAGTATTTTCAGCAAATTGTTATGGCATTAAGAAGTGTGTGTGTGTGTGTGTGTGTGAGTGTGTGTGTATAGCTGTCATCATTTCTATCCGTTTTTAGGGGTTAATAATTAACCACAAGTATGTATGTGCCCCAGGCTGAATCTTGATGAGTGAGAGAGAGCCAGGGAGGAAGAGGGGCTCCTTATCATACTTGTTATTATTAATATGAAGGAATGCAACATGACTGCTTAATAAAGTATAGCCTGATGAGTCCCCAGTACCTCCCGTGCATACATGTCAACACCTCGGCACCTCCCATGTAACCTGGCTCTCTCCACGGCTGAGCATTGGTGGCAGCCTAAAGAAGGCTAAGATGAACTTGACTTAAGCAAGAGGAAGCAATACTTGTGGTTTTTATTCCCCAGGAACCACTGCTTGATTTATTAGCATATCCTCAATTGCCCAACATGTTCACAGATCTGGTAAAACAGGGGAGGGGGCCAATAGCATTCGATTCCATCCATGGAGTGTCAGGGCAGCGTTGCTGAAAGAACAGAAGTGTTGGAAGCCAGACCCGGGTGTGAATCCTGGCTGTGTGACCTTGCTCAAGTTACTTAACCTCTCTGAGTCTGTTTCCTCAGCCACAAATTGGGAGCTGTAACACTTTCTCCTAGGGTGATCATGGGCATTAAATGGGATAAAGCCCCCATAACATTTTCACTATATGCACATGTGTCGTCGGCACATGTCATGGTTATGCTGCCCCCTTAGTCTGGTCATCTCGGTGCTGGTTCTTGAGCTCCCTGGGGCCTGGAGCAGGGCTCCCATGGCACTTGCTGACCAGGGCCTTGAGAACCTCCATAGCTGGAGGTGTCCTGCAGACATCCAGGAGGAGGCACCCCAGCCCTGGGGAATCCCTCCACGCTCTCCCCCTGGCCTGGGGCAGTAATCTGAGATGTCAGGCTGGGCGTTTCTCTTAGAGGACGGTGTGTTTTCGATCACTGCCAGGGCAATGGCAGTGCAGGCCGTGACCAAGGCCCAGGGACTGTGTTCGGGCCTCCGTTCCCTGGGGACTCCCTGTCAGTCTGCAGTGTTCCTTAGTAGGCACTCACTTGACATGCCGGTACATGCACACGTGTATACGCATGCTCACACACACATACGTATTCACATGCACACATTCACACACATGGCCCATTCATTATGACTCATCTTCTTGTCAGAGACTGGCTCTGACTGGAGGGCTAGGGGCCTTCATGGCAAGGGCAGTACCTCTGTCTGGAGAGTGGATAGGAAAGATACACACATAATCTTATCAGGGGGGGTAATTTTTTGTCTTTTTAAATTTTTAAATTGTTGTTCAATTACAGTTGTCCGCATTTTGCCCCCACAACTCTCCCCTGCCCTACCCACCCCCCACATCCAATCCTCCCCTGCCCCATTGTCTTTGTGTGTTCTTTATACATGTCCCTTGATTTGACCCTTCCCCTTCTGTCCCACATTATCCCTCTTCCCCTCCCCTCTGGTCACTGTCAGTTCTTTATTTCCATGACTTGGAAACAATAAAGAGGTAGATAAGATAGCGGAAAAACACTCTCCCGAAACCTTTGCTAACATGTAGCAATATCTCTTGCAAGTCTTTCTGTTATGCATGTTTGATTTTATATAGTAATGAGCATCCTGCCTATTAAATAATTATTTGTGTATGTCTTTATCACTTAATTTCATAGAGTAAGCATCATTTTAGTAGTTGCATAATATTTCTGAAGGATACACCCTGATTTATCTCAATAATTGAAATCTTAGACTACTGCCAAAATGTTTCCTATTGCACATAGAATTATGAAATAAATCAAGGTTTTTCTGCTTTTGGGGTATTATCTCAGGAAATATTTTCAGAAATATAAGGTTAAACATTATAAGGCTCCTAATACTTACTGCCAAACTGATTTCCAAAAGTTATATCAACATATAAGCCCCTAAACTTTTGCTCCTGATCTTTAGTGATATGACCCTCTTTACCCCCCACCACACACACACACACACACACACACACACAAATCCCAGCATCCTCTGAGGATGCATCACTTAGGAAGCGGAAGGCTGGCTCCACCTCCGAGTCCCTGCTTGCCAAACTGTGGCTCCTGCACCACTGAAGACAGGAGGTGACATCAGGGGAGAAATGAACAAACTTTGCTTCTGTTGTAGAAAAACTGTGAAACCCCCAAAATCCATGTTTCTGTAAATATTATTGTTTAGGGCCTGGCTCCAGTGTGTGTCTAAGTTTTTATTTTTTTAAGTGTGTTGAGTGAAAGAAGACACTGCTCTGTAGCAGAAGCTAAGACTGTTCCTGCCTACGATCAAAGCTGTAAAAGTGGAGCGGGAATCTCGGCGGCTCAAACAGACAAAGCCCAGAGGCGCCCTTGCAAGAAGCAGGGGCAACAGAAGTTAAACTGAATGGAGAAAATGGCTTTCTACACACATCAGACCACCGGGCTAATAAAAAATGCAGAGACCCTTGGAGGGCTGGGGGTCGAGTGAGGGCAGCGTTTTATGCTGCTATCAAACACCCTTCCCGAATCCACCAACCTCCTCAGCCTACAGAGGAGGAAACCAGGTCCTGAGAGGGTAATCACTGTCTACCCCCAGGAAGGGCCCAGGGCCCAGGCCCCTGCCCTCCACCCAGAGGTCTTCCCTCACTTTAGGGAATCCTCCAGGTCTTTGGTAAATGACTTCCCCTCCAGGTTTGGGCCAGAGCAGGACCCATGTAGACAGGCCACTTACCTGCTGTGGCTGCACCCTCCCCAGAGAGCACTCTGTGAGTGGAACCCCTTTTCCTGAGAATGACTTACTGCTCCGTCCCGGTAAGAGATCTGCTTGCTCGTCTTGAGACTGGTCAGTTTGCTTGTCGGTTGGCGTGAGAGACGAAATGCCAGCAAGCTCCCTCCCCCACTTGAAACCAAAGAAGTGAATCCCCAGAGACCTTGCTGACTGGCCCCTGGTAGGTGCTTCATAATAAATGAAAATAACCTTAATAAATTGCATAGGACAAGTAGACGTTGAATCAGTGCCGTGTCGTTGGGTAAATACGCCCAGGTATTCCTCCAACAGGGCTTCCATTTGTTGAGCACCTACTATGGGCCAGACACTATGCTTAGTTTGTCATTCAAGTCCCACAAGAAACAGGCCAAACACTCAAATCAAGTAATTTGAGGAGCATTGAATAAAGGAGCTATTTACAAAAATGTGGGTAGAACCACACAGCAGAACACAGTGCCCCAGGGTGGATGCCACAGAACCATTACTGCCCTGGGCTGAAGGGGTAAGAGGTAGGGACAGAACTTCGGGGGGAGGGCAGCATGATAGGAGCTGTGACTTGGGGTGGAGGGACCCAGCCTGCTGACAGTGCCCACAGGGAGGGAGCCCCGTCCCCCCCACCCCACCCCACCCCCCACCTCCTCACTCTGTACAGGATCCAGGGGGCAAAGGGGAATTATCTCGGCCTCTCAGGTTTCACTCTCCTTATGTCATCAGAATTTCACAACAACCCTCTGAGGCTGGTACCAACCCATTTCAGAGGAGGAAACTAAAGTTTAAAGAGGAAACAATTTCTGGTCATCTGTGGGCCAGGATTTGAAACAAAATCTCTCTGACTCCACAGAACATGGAGTTCTGTTCTTGGCATTGTGCCGTAATTTGCCATAAATTAGCAAAATGTCTCTCTTTTAAAGGCAATTTCATAAAACTGGGTTATCTCTTCAGCTTAGCTTTTAAAATCAAATATATAATTGTCTTTGTTGTTTGGGATGGAAAGCCTAATTTGTGAGGTAACCAGTGCGCGATGTAAAAATGTATTTAATCATTAGACTGTGGGGGTGTGCATGTCCTGTGTTTGGAGAGAGAGGAGTTGGAGAAACGATGAGCTGGAGTGCAGGCCAGGAGCACCGGAAGGGGTCTCGGAGACTGCGAGCCTCCCCAGGCTCTGCACAGGAAAGAACGGGGGGCGATGGCTGGGGGCCTTCGGTGTGGCGCGCAGTAGGTCTCCTTGCAGAGGCAAAGGGAAAAGCTCCCCAACTCCTCTTCCGTCTCCCCCGGGGTGCGTAGCATGCCCTCACAATGTAGCACAGCCTGTGCTTTCTTTCCTTTTTTTATTTTTAAGATTTTATTTATTTATTTCTAGAGAGAGGGCAAGGGAGAAAAAGAGGGAGAGACACATCAATGTGAGAGAGAAACATCAATGTGTGGTTGCCTCTCACGTGCCCCCAACCAAGGACCTGGCCCACAACCCAGGCCTGTGCTCTGACTGGGAATCGAACCAGCAGTGCTTTGATTTGCCGAATGATGCCCAACCCGCTGAGCCACACCAATCAGGACAAGCCTGCCTTCTTGAGCACAGCTGTCCAGGCTCTGGGCCTTGCTCACACTGTTCCTTCTGCTTGAAATAATTGGAAAGAACAAGTACTAACGCTGCTCCAAGTGCCGAACACACGTGTAAGCTCATCTCTGAAACGACCTGTTAGATGGGTACTACTACCATCCTCACTTGGTAGCTGTGGGAAGCCAGCACAGAGGGGTTGAGTAACCTACCAGAGATCGTTCAGTGGCAGAACAGGAGTTCAAACCCAGGGAGGCCGCCCCAAGCTCTTGCTCTTTTCTACTGACTTCTGCTTTCCGAGATGTCCCAGCCACGTCCTCTCCAGCCTCTGTTCAGTTCATTGCTATGAATAACTCAAAGACCTTTCACCCAGGGCTGCTCAAATTTTTCTGCCAAAGGACTTTTAATGCCAAAGAAGAATGGATGGGTACTCCCGGGGCCGGGCCACAGGCTGGAGGAGCACGTAGGACAAATTATTTGCAGTTGCTTGTTTTCATTTAAAAATTCATCCAAATTTTGTATTCCGTGTAATATGTTCATGTACGTTTTGTTTTTTAAATAATGTTTTTAATTACCATTAGGTACACTAATGCTCTAGAGAGAGGTGCCAGGTTCACTCGCTGGCTTCGGCCACCCGTTGCACAAGCCCTCATCCTCCAGGGATGTGAAGCCCGCCTCGGTTCAAGCACCGCTTCCTCAGGAAAACCTTCCCTAACTTCACCCCTCCAGGTAGGGTGAGAGCCCACGTTCACAGAACAGGCGACATCCACCTCTTACAGCTCTCCTGTCCCCTAAGATAGGGCTCGGCCTTTCCTTGAGTAATTAAGGCACCTGCCATTACAGTCTGTCAGCTCCACAGACCCCAGGCAGAGTAGACAAGAGACCTAGCACCACCCTGCAAAATGAGACGAGGGAGGTGGAGGAGTGCAGAGCCAGCCGAGGAGCCATGGCCTTCCTCCAGGGCAGGGCTGGGCAGGGTTTGTCCGCTGCTGTGGGTATGGGGGCGGGAGCCCTGCCTGGTAGCGTTTGCCAGTTTCCACGGTGCAAATATTCTCACCGTGGCTGACTTCAAGCTACCAATGCGAAGTCACTGGACATAGAGTTGGGCAGTGATGGGTAGTAAGTAGCACACATGTTACTCTACCGTATATAGATGTAATAAATGTAAACAATCCAAAACCAGAAATAACGGCAAGTATGGTAAAACAGTTAGGAAGTAATGATTTTTGGTATTTATTAAATGTGTTTTAATACCATGTATTTAATTTTGTGTTTACATAACTTACTATTTAATAATGATTATGTTTAACGACTGGCTTGTGCAGTTCCTGAAAATTTATCAGTCACCTGTTACAAGCCAGTGTGGACTGGCTTCAGCACACCACTGAACAGCCGGCTTTCTCCTGTGTGGCTTTGCCAGTACTATCTCCCCAAAGCAATGGCTGTTTGGAGGGCGAGAGCACAGTCACGATTCAGCAGTGCGGTTAGATCCTAGGACACACCTACACCAGCTCACACAGATGGGGCTGTCCAGAAGAAATTCAAAGAGAAGGATTCCTATCCATCACTGACCACGGGCTGCAGGACTTGGAACGTCTCCCTCCTTGGTTCCTGAGTGGCCGTGAGGGCAACAGGGGAGGAGAAGATGGTGAAGATGGGAAGGTCTGGGCCTTGGCTGAAGTGTGGGAGAAGCTCAGGGCTTGGTGAACCGGGCCAGGTGTGGGAGAATGTCTTCAAGACACCTGTTGATGATAGACTTTATTTTAAATGCTTTTCCTTTAAGATTCAGGAGAAAAGCCAAATTCGAAAGAAAGTTGACTTTTACTCTCCTATATTATAATTCCAAAGTAGCTATAACCTCTTCAGTACAGAACTTAGCTTATGCCTGTCCAGCCTGACCCGGCAGCCTTAGGAAGCCGAACCAGAGCGGGCAGCGAAGGAGCACTCCTCCCCTCGCTGCCTCGGAGAGGAGGGGCCAGCAGCCTCTCAAGCGTGGGGTCCCAGGGTTCTAGGAGACAGAGCCCCAATCTAGGGAGGCCCTGAGAGGACAGGGATAGCCTGACCTTCTGCTCACTCCTGTAGAGCAGAGGACATTTCTCTGAAAGGAGGAGGGAGGGGGCCCCGAGTCCGGGTGGCATCCCTGACTCTACCCAATGTACAGTAATGTCATGGTTGCTTTACTTGTCTGCTTTCTCCCCTAGATCCTACACGCCGTGAAGGGAAGAGACGATGTCTATCCTATCACAGGACCTGGTATACAGTAGGTGCTCAAGAGAAGTCTGGGGGTGTGAATGAATGAAATCCAAGAAGGAGTGCCTTCAGTCATCCCATGAGAAGAAAGCTTGGAGCCGTGGCCTGGACACTGCCCTGATCCCGCAAGGAGCGAGTGAGGGACCCCGGGCCAGGAGCGCCCAACAAACCGCGCTGGTGACGAACGAATGGCGTGTTTGGCTCTTTATGAGCTCGAGGCACTGGACCGGGTACTGGAGGAAGACGGAGAAGGACACCCTGGCCTTCAGAGAGCTCCCTGAGGTGAGGAACTGTGGACGCCTGAGGAGATGAAGCAAGTCCAAGGTGAGTCCATGGGCTCCTCTGTGTGGTTGGGTGAGTCATCCAAGGTCTCCGGAGCCAGACTAAGATGCTGCCTGGGTTCCTTGCTCCTTCACCAATGTCGGATGCTCCCTTCCTCTCGGGACCTGGAAGAAGTGTTGACAGGGAGCTGGCAAGATCACCTCCAACTGAGGAGACTTCAGACCCACAAGGTTGTCATGGGGTTTTCCAGGGGCGGTGGAGAAAGGGGGAAAGGGAAGATGAGGCAGCCCAGGGTGAAAAACAAGTTACCCCTGGTAAAAAGCATCAAGACTCTGAATGGTGCTGAGTGTTAGATGGGTGAGTCCTGTGGGACAGGGTTGGAAAGCCTTAGTAGTCCAGCGCCTGGAGTACCCAGCTAAGAATCCGTCCCTTTCACAAACCAGCTTGTTCTTACATGTTGGGAGGAGAGAGTTAATATGGATTTGTGTTATCATGGAATTAATGTCTATCTCCCACACCAAAGTGTCAGCCCTGAGAAGGCGGGGTGCCTGGGCCCGGGTTTGCTCACTGATGCACCCCTGCACCCTGAGCAGTGTCGGGCATGCAGCAGGCACTCAAAACGTGTTCGCTGAGTGAGTGATCAGACATTTTCAGTGTGTGTGTTTGCTGTTAGATTCCAGGGCAGCCTCAGGAGCTGGGGAGGCCCAACCAAGAGGTTCTAAACCTTAGAGCTACTCCAGTCTCCTGTATGCGGTGGGGTACCTTTAGGATCTCATTTGAAGCAACAGTTCCTTAACTAAAAAATAAGTTTGGGAACCACTGGAACAGGTGTTTTCCAAGGCCCCTGCTGCTCTGTCATCCTGGGCATTGCCTGGTGACCGTGGCCCTGAGGTCTGTGCGTGAACAGGCCAGGCACAGGTGAACGGGCCAGGCACTCGTTCTAAAGGTCAATCCGTCTCCACTGCTGGCTGTGCCAGGATGTTTGCCCACTTCAGAGGGTACCCTTCTCTAAGCTCAAGGCCTGATCACCAAACAGAGCCTTTCCTTTCCTGTTGCCTGTGTCCCCAGGAGAATGACTCTGCAAAAAGCCCATCTCAGTCAGTCCCTGCTGTGCCCTGGCAGACCCAGTGCGCTTACCGCCCCAAGCCAGCAGCTGCCCTGGCCTCGCTGGAGAGTCAGCCCCGGCCACGCCAGCTCCCTCCAGATCCTTGGGTTTTCTAAACCTACACTCGGAGAGGCTAAGGCAGTTGAAAAGAAAAAAGATATATATCCTCCCTCCACACCCAGACACTTGAGCTGGGAAAGTGCCAAGAAAAATAGCGTGATGTCATCCCCCGGCTGATCCCGTTAATCCCTTTTCTGAGGAATATTGAGTCTTGGTTTTTATTTTAAAGCGATTTTTATCGTCAGAGGATGGTTAAAAGCCTCTGAGAGCTACGCTGGGAAACCTGGGGCGTCTTTGATGTGCAGAGTGATTCAGGGCCCACAGCCCCCCCCCCCCCCAGCTCCAGCAAGGCAAGAAATGAGATTTGCAGAAGGCTGGGACACTGGAGGAATTCTGTTTCAGACGGTGTGCTTTACCAGCGGCATCTGGTTTTGTATTTCGCAGCCAGGGCGCCTCTGCAAAAAGGCCTCTGGGGGGATTTCTCAGCCTTTACAGAGCCTGGGAAGAATACCGCAGTCCCACTCCTTCTGGACCCCCCTCCTTTCCTGTCCCTGCTATTGCTAGGGAACACTCCCCCCTCTGCTGGGTGCCCTGCCCCCAATCACACCCCCATCACGCGGTATCCCCATCCCAACTCACTCCAGAAGGGCTGCCTTTGAGAGGAGAGGTGGACTTGGGGCCGAGAGACATGGGTATGAGGCTCAGCTTCAGACAAACCACTTAGAAAAAGCCATTTAGCCTGCTTGAGCCGTAGCAGTTCATCAGTGAGACTGAAGTATGAATTCCAGACCTGCTGCCTGCCCTCCAGCTTATGTGACCACCAAAATGTTCAAACGAAATCATGTATCTTTGGAAGCTCCACTAACACAAGAGCTGATGGCCAGAGGGTGCGATGCTGGGGTTTGGGACTCGGGAGGCTACGCCCTTTGGGTGATGGGAAGGGAGTGGGTAGCTGAAGCCCGAAAGTGTGCTTAGCAATGAAGTCAAGGGGACCCTGGAAAAGTTATCCATGTGAATGACGAGGGGCCCAGGAATGATAAGGGAGTTGAGGTGGGAAGGATTTCCAGAAGCCCAGGAGCCAAGGTGGTCAGTGAGTAAGAGGCTTGCCCAAGAGGCCCGGGAGAACATAAGGGGTGCAGCAGGGGCTGGCCAGCGTGAGTCTAAAGGAGAAGAGGCCTTTACAAGATGAAGAGGTGGGAACGGCAATGGGGAGAGTGGGGCAAGCAAGGAGCGATGAACAGAGCGGTGTGGCGACAGGGTCTGGGAGCCCTGGGTGCAGGAAGAGGCCTGGGCTCCTGGCCGACACTGAGGAGAATGTGGATGGAAAGGATGGGTTGCAACCTCGTGGTCCCTAGCAGTGGGAAAGGACTGGGTGCTGAAGGCTTCACACACTGTGGCTTTGCTACAGAGTGTGCTGGTCGGGCAGGCCAGCCTCAGCTGGCCGTCCTTTAAAGGCTGCTTCCTTGGACCTCAAGTGGTGGCTGGTGGGTCTTCAGACAAGGGCTCCAGCAGAGCTCATGGGGAGGGAGGGTGGCCCCGCAGGCCGGAGGGGTGGACAGATCAGGAACCAGATGAGTGAGGTCTGAGGTCCATTCCATCTCTGCGACCCTGTGATCACATACGTCACAGTTGTCCCAAGCACTGACCCCAACTCCAAGCTTAGTTTCTAAGGTCAGCCAGCTCTAACAGGTGTGCAAGTGCCTTGACCACCAGATGCTGAGGAGGAAAACAGACACCCCTGGCCTACCCCAGAGACCTGAGCACAGCCGCCCAAAGCCAGCCTCAGAGGGGAGCAGGAGGAATCTGAACAGATGGAGGAGGAGGGAGGGGGCAGAAGCCCCTGCTCTCAGGGCTCAGAGCAGACTGTGGAAGCCAAGGTCTCAAAGTTAGAGTTGAGGTTGCTATTTCTGCTGCTAACAATGGCAGCTAACATTTGAGCCCCTTCTCTGTGTGGGGCATATTACATGCCTCACTCACCTGTTCCTCGAATCAACCTTCAGAGGAAGGTGGTGTCCTGATCTTCACTTTGACAGGTGAGGACATCCAAGTCCACAGAGATGAAGGAACTGGTTAAGTGGTAAGGGCTGGACCCTTGTTCCTACATGGACTCAAGTCCAAAAGCCTTTCTTATTTGTGGTTAAGAAAACTGCAGCTCCAGCCAAGGACATGACTTGTTCAAGGACACTCAGGAGGCCAGGGGCAGAGCCAGGACTGACACTCAGGTGTACTGACGTTCAACCCTCAGTTTTCTCCACCCCACCATGCAGAGATCAGTGAGAGAACTCCTCTCTTTCTCCATATAAAGGACACTTTCTGAGGTTCACAGGAAGCCTAATTTGGGGTGAGATGTGTAGCATCCAGCCTCTAGGAGGGCCTGCAATAATCTGCCTCTAGGCATTCACCCCACGTGGAGTCCCTCCCGCCCACTGGGTAGCCCATGGGTTGTTACAAAAATGACCATGTGCTTTCTCTCAGGGAAGCAAGCTGCCATGCTGTAGTGACACTCAAGTGACCTGTGAGGGGCCACCTGGGGTAGGACTGAAGCCACTTGTTGACAGCCATCACTGGCTTGGCAGCCATGTTAGAAAAGGTGATCCAACTCAAAGAAAGGATGAGGGGAAAACTCCTGCTGGAGCAGAGCATCTCAGAGCAGGCTTTCCAACCAGTACGTGTCTCTCCAGCAGCGTTGAGTCTGTATCAGGTCGGGGAAGGGTGTGGACGTGGGACAAGGCCCAAGGCCTGGCTGGCCTGGGGCCAGGCTGCAAGGACAGCGATGGGGCTCGAAGTAGCATGTCCCTCCTGGATGCTCTGGGACCTCAGGGCAGGCCACAGAGAGTTCCAGTTGCAAAGCACTGCAGATGGCAGTGGGGGGGGGTCTCTTATTCACGCTCTGGATTAGTCCCTGGGAGACTTGCAGCAAGTTCTTTACTGGAAGATTCTATTCAACTCCACAAGTAAGGCCAACTTTGAGAATTCTAAAGAGTAATTATTAGCAAGAGTCCAGGCCATTCAAGATACTTTAAAAGACTTGCCATGGGAGTCACTTTGCCTCCTCAAGAAACCCTGAAAGGGGTTCACATAAGGAGGAACCACAGTACGTGTCCATCATTGATATCACCATTATTATTTATTATGTCAGAGCAGTCATAAAGCACCTACTCTGTGTCAGGGACAGTGCTATGTGCTACTCATCCGAGCAGTCCTGCAAGGTAGAAGTTAGTGTCCTCCTTTTACAGGTGAAGTTACTCTAGCTCAGCGATGTTAAATAACTTGTTGAAAGTTAACTTGTTGCATAAAACTGGAAGGGCTGGGTTTCAAACCCAGGCCTCTTGGATTCTGAAGTCTGTGTTCTCCTTTGGCGGCAGCAGCAGAGATGCGGTGGCTTTGCTGCCAAATAAGCTTCCTCTGAGTTTCACTCCTGGGGAGCTGCGGGGCCAGCAGGGTGTCCTGGTTGCAAGCCACAGAACTAAATAGTCGACTTAAACAGCAAAGGGGCTTATTGGAGAGATAGAGGGGAAATCATATACCGACAGGAAGACTGAAGAACCAGGAAGGAACTCGTCCCCACCAAGACTTACACA